GAAGCGAGGACGGTATTTTGGACGGCGTCAGCGATGTCCTTGGGGCTGTCACAGGAGGCTTGTGGCCAGACGAAGGGCGGGTACGTAAGCGTGGATGGAACGAGGGAGGGAAAAAAGGGAAAATGCGGGCACTCATGGTTTCATTTGCCCTTTGCGTGCATACTCAGGAGACAGCAGGGAGAAAAGAGGTTGGGGTTTAGTGGAAAGGACCATACAAGGGTCCAAAGCGTCACGGAAGCGTTGTTCCAGTCGTTAGGACGTAAATTTATTCGAGTTCCTCCTCCTCCTGATCCGAAAGGACACATCTACGGTATCTGTTGCTCTTACTTACCCCCCCTTTCAGAAGTTATTGAGACACTGCAACATCACTATTTGCCTTCGTGATTTTTTAAGGAAAAGCCAAAAAAAAAAATTCTTTCCTTTCTTTGTTCTATTTCTTCAGATTCTTGTCTTTGATGTTCATGCAATACTCTTCCCATGACCTACGTTCTCTTTTCTCTTTACTCTTTCGGACGAAGTGTCTTATGCACACGGGACGAAGTGCTTTCTAAACAATAGTTGGTACAATGAAGGAATTGATATTTGTGTGTGAGAGTTTTGAAGCAATGGAAGAATCATATCACATGCACTTGCCAACTAGGGTCGATGAGGAAACCATAAAAGTATCTAAACATTTCACTTATATCCCGATCTAAGAAATGCATCACAAGTCTTGAATTTTTAATGTGATACGAGATGATAGATGCGAGCATGCGGGTGGATTACTTGACTTTACAACAATTCTCAAGACAGTACCTGACGAAGTCGATGTTGCCAAGTTTCTCGTGCCCATCCCATTTCGCTTTTGTCAAATCGTCACAGCCACCCACGGATCAACGCTCTATTTTTGATAGCTCAATTCAAACGAATGCTACATGTGTATAAGATGGAATACTGTCCCGTCGTAATTACTCAATTTCTACCACAATAGACGATCAAATCGTTCCACCGAGGGAAAGTCTATAACGGCACTTCAGCTCTCCCACTTTGAACATGTCCGAGGGCGACACCTTCCGAGGACCTTTTTACTATCTTTACGGTTCAAAATTGAAAATAAACGCATAAAAATTATATAATATTATATAAACTCATTAAATGTGAAAAATTGTAAATTTCTGTGGGGTATGGTCACTGTTGTGCCCGACAAAAGAGCAAGGAAAATGACGGCAGTTGGGGGCGCTTGAGGCGACGGAGTGCGGGGGCGAGGG